GCATCCTCGCAAAAAGCCAAGAACCCGCTTATACTGGAGTTGCGAAATTTGCATGCGGCTGAAAGTTCTCACTGCATTTCCTTCGCCCAGTTCGCACGCTGCATCCTCTAATCAGAGCTTCCCTCGTGCCACCGGTGTTTTAGCAATGTCGAGAAACCAAATCACAGAAACAGGCTTTGCACAGCTTGCGAAAAAAAGACCGAGCTTTCGTTCTCCATGCCCCTGGCCCTCAAGTTTCTTGCGCACATCCCACGTGCTTGTCTCCGGCAGGCATTGCTGTGCCCGCTCGAGAGGCTGAATGTCTCGCTGGCACACTCAGCCTTTGTAGCAGTGTGGCTGCTGCTTTGATGGTTTCCTTGAGCCGAACCAAAATGCCTTGCCTTGGCATCTGCAAACTTGCGTGGGGCCTGCAGCTTCTGTATGCTTCTGCGCTCTCGGGTTTAGAGGCCTTGCCATCTTTGGCTCGACGTAATGCTCGAGAAAGACTTCATGCAAGTCACAAATCTTAGCCTGGGCCTTAGAATTGAAAGCCCGGACACAGGAATGCCAACTAAGCCTGAGGCTCAACTTTGGAGATCTTTGTTGGAGAGGATCCGAAACTACTGCACTCTGCGACAAACTCAGCACTGATCACTCTCAATCTTGTCAGTTTTTGCAGGAGCATGTGCCCAAAGATCGGACTGCCCATCTTCAAGGGGGACAGGTGTCGGGCACGGCACGCATGACGGACGGATGCGACAAAGTAGTTTCTTCGAGACCAATCCTGCGGCTGATGGCGACGCGTTGTGTTATTGAATGGTCACTAGCATGCGGATCTGGGAGGTGCTAACTTTTGCCAAGAGAGACGGTCCCGGGCACCTTGGCTTAAGAGGGGTGAGGAGCGCCGCCGCTTTCATTCGGCTTCACACAGCTTGGTGCGAAGCTTTGTGTGCAGTGCAGGCTCCAGATACTTGTAGCAATTCCGCCAGACACTTGTTCTTTGTCTTTTCAGTACGTAAATGGCTGGGAAGCAACCAAAAGCTGCATACCCTGCAAAAGCATGTCGAGACTGTCCACACCATGCCTCTTCGGAGAACGAAGCGAGCTGACCATTTCTTTGAAGCGTTTTGCAGTATCAGCGCGAAAGTAGAGTTAGCACACCTGCGAGCGGTGCATGTCAGAACCGGCTCTGTCAAGAAGACCATATTCCTTCGACGGCCAAGTGTTGGATCTTTAGGATGTGTCGAACCATTGAGCGTTGTTAACTGTCCTGCCTGAGATCCTACTTCGGAATCATGACCTGCGCAACGACCTTGCAGCCATGAGGTTCCTCCAGCTGCTGTTGTTTCAGGCGGGTCTTGCTGCCAGATCGGAAGTCTGTGAAGAGCTGGAAGCTCTGGGCCGAGCGACACGAAGTGCCGAGACCACAGTCCACAGGCTGCAAGACCAAGCAATGTGGCAGAGTTCGGACCTAAGCTTGGACATCTTGAGCTGCAGTTTCTCTTTTGGAGATCTCGCGGTCCAGGCTGTTGAAAACTGTTGCGTGCAGTACTGGAACTTGGAATCGTCATAGGGACTCTTAGTGTGGCCGTGACTCTGCGGAATGCGAAATGAAAGCAGTTCGATCAGGCTGCCCGTCTCGATTGCCGCACCAGTCTCAGCGGAAGCGACATGTAGTTCTGCGAAACAACCTCATTAGCACAGTCGGGCTGAGGTGGCTGGCAAAGCACAGCCCCCAACCTGAGATCGGCAGCTATCCCACCGAGCAGATTCACCAGGATCGCTGCAGTATGAAGCTGGATTGTGCGATATTGGTTCGATGCTGCCTGCATGACGCTGCAAGTCTTCTGACATGTTTAGTTTAGTGCCGGAACACCTCACATGTCACAGCTTGTCGCCCCGAGCGGACACAGTAACGAAGCCTTCTGACCGCTCTAGCTGCAAAATGCTGCCCAAGCTACCGCCATGCCACGTGTTCTAACAAATTCTCCGAAGATTCAGTTCACATCCCAGTAACGCGCTTCGTACCTAGACGTTGGGATAGGCTGCCTTGTTGACTAGACCAGAAGAGCATGGAGCCAACATGAGACATGCAGTGGGCCGGCAAGCAGTTGAAGCGCTTCTTCCAGCCTAAGCGTCTGAGTTGCAGGAAGGTCGCGTTGCTGAGTCAAGATCCGAAGATGGAGAGTTAGAGAAGAGGAAAAGAGGAGGGGGAGGATCGCAGATGCTGGCTGATTGCCCGGCGCCTTTCTTGAATTCCTTTGCTCCCAGGCCGGCTGATGAATCTCCTCGCCGCCCGACGGCCGAGGTCCCTCGCGCGAGTGCCACCCCTGCCCGCCTCAGCGATTCGCCTTTTGCAGAGGCTCATCCACAGGAGTCTCGAACAAAGGGCCAGCTGAAAGAAGAGGCCTGCTTCAGCATCAGAATTCTGCAACTATTGCAGCCAGCAGTCTAAGCCAGGCAGTGAGATTGAAAAGCCAACTTGACGCCTTGACTGCGGGACTGGAAGTTTCTGCCAGTCGGCTGCACCTCTATCTCGCTGAATCGCTGAAGCAACCACCTGGATTGCATGACCATGGAAGAGCCTCAGGTTGTGAATGGGACTTGGGTTCAACGCTTCATTGATCTGCACCAGCAGCACCTGGAGATTCCTTGATGCATGCCGGGTGACGATGCACAGTTTGTTTTTCGACGATCCTCGAACTTCAGAGTCATGATTTCCCCTATGCCCTATGCCCGTGCTCAGGATTGGCTGTCGACTGGAGGATGGCACCGTAAATGTGCAGGCAGAGGTCAAGCGGCTGTACCGCTTCGGCACTTATGCTACAAGGGTCTTGGTTTCTTGTTTAGGCTTTCCTGTGTTTCTTTTGTTTGGGCTTTGCCTTCTGTATGTTTCTGTCATAGAGAAATAAACATGCATTTATTGCTTAGCACCGAGCTGATATACAGGCAGTATTTCATTGCCTTCCTGGTAGTGCAAGCCGAGCACCACGCTGTCTCGAGGCAGCACGTTTTGGCCCATTCCAAAGTCGTGGCGGCGCTGGACACACCCGGGTTGTACCGCGGACGGACTGGCCATTTAGGCCCTTTGACGCTTCGCACACTCACACCAGCATGGATTAGAGACTTCTATCGGGCACAGGGCCGCCAGCGCGACGGACGGACGTTTTCAGCTCGAGCTACTCCACTAAAAGTGCGATCTCAGCTGATCTGGTTCGTCATTGTCACGCAGTCTGTCGACTCAAGAATCTTGTAGCTTTTCTTGCGAACTTCCTGTGAGTTTGGTTAAGATGCGCTGTAGGCTTAGATGATGCTGCTTTGCTGCACATCAATGTAGCTGTCATGTGAGTAGGATTGTCGATGTTGGACCGCAGCGTTGGTGCTGTTGCAGAATGGGACATGAATAGAAGCACTAAATCCGCGCATGGTTCATTGGATGTGTTCTAGTCATTGGTCTAAGGACAGTGATGAGGCAGTGGCACCCGAGACTTGCATGAACTACGTAATTTTCAATGTACCATAAGGGTCAGGTATTTCGTTAAACGACCAGCACGAGTTGCCAAGTGAAGCAGAAGTTGTTTGTCATCTGTTGGCAGGGCGTGAATGGTCATCCGGCGAGACAAGGTCAAGCAGCGAGTCTTGGTCAGCAGTTGGAGGCCTTGCACACTGTATTTGCAACAGCGCGATCATAGTCCTGAATCTGAGGAAAGGTTCCGGAGAGGCTGCCGCGTGCAAGCTTTTTGCTTTCGCAAGCCTTTTTCGATCAATGGCTCAGTAGCTGCTGATAGAATCGAGGCCTGAATAACTGATGCATGTGTCAGGAGCCCTTTGTGCTTGCTGAATGGTGCTATAAATCTCAAAACGGACGAGCCTGTGGACACACACGCGCACACATACAGACGGAGGGAGACACGCGCGCTTTGCACCCATTCGATGCTGTGGCTGTCCACCATGCGCAGGATCACGACGACCTGGAGCGCTCGTATGATGCTTTTGACACTTTCCACGCGGCAGGCAAATAAACCCAGCCCAGTACTGCAAACTGTTTTCGGGCTACCCTGCTTACAGGGCAGCACCTGGTGTGATCTTGTGCTGCAGGGATTAAATACACATGTCAAGGTAAGTACGGGAAGAGAAGCAACGTGCAGTTTCCCACGCGAAGGTGGCTCGTTTCAGCCGCCTTCGCGCCAAACGAATCAGGCACCGGTCTCGTCACGGCAGACTAAGTCACAGCGAGGATCTGATCGGATTTGAGCATAAGGACTGGACACTTTATAGAGAAGTTACATGGACGACTGAACCGGCCTTTTCGCAAAGTCTTAAAAGCAACCAATTGCAGGCCGAGAAGTCTGGACGTGCGCAGGAAGTAGACTCAGTAGACTCTGCAACAGCAGCACGCGCGGCAGCAGCGCGCAAAGCGGAAGAAGA